CAACAGTTAGCATGTTTGAACTGAGGTGTGTTATTTCCACCAGTCAATGATCAGCATAACATTTACGTTATTCTCACCCGACCAATCGGCTTTCACTCCCTTATTTGAAACCCGATTACCATTTTCAACACTTAATATTGTAAGCCTCGCATATTAGCCATGTCCATAGAAAATACCCCTTCATTTAGAGTCCCGCCAATTACAGGGCTTGCCGCAGACAAAACCTTGAGCTGAACCAATGAGAGGTTTACCTTGACAGGGCGTGGCAGCCTACGTGATGATTGCCGCGTCTTGTTTCCTCTCCCCAGACTTACAGAAAGGTTTTCTTTGAATCTCCGTGCTACACACACACACACACACCCACACACTATACACACAGCCCTGATTTAACTCCTCTTTACTACTATTTTTTTAAACGTGTTCTCCAGCTTCCCCTTCTAGCCACACCTTCACCACAATTTTATTATCAAAATATCCTAAAACAAAAGTAACTACCCTAGCTTAGCTAGTTCAGCCGCAGATCTATGCTGAATTCAGTGACTGTCGCCCAGTGGCGTAGCTAGAGTGTATGCCGCCCGGGGCGGCCCTTGAGTTTGCAGCCCCCCCCCCCCGTTACCCTACAAAAAATACATATTGCACAGTGACTCACTCTTTTATATATATATATATATATATATATATATATATATATATATATATATATATATATATTAAATAGTTTGCCTTACTGTTGTCAGACAAAAGCCACCCCGATCAAAATAGGGGGCTTTTGTCTGGGTGGCTTTCGTCTGGGGGGCTTTTGTCTGTACCCCAGTGAGGATAGTGTCTTAGTATAAAATCGCAATGCTGTGAAACAAAATCTTAATATTTAATCTCAGTACCCCAGCAAAAGTCACATCAATATTTTTTAACCAATACTTTAATATTTCTTACCTTATAGTATTATGTCTTCCAACGAAGTAAATAACTGGATCGAAAACACAAGAGAACTTAAAAGTCGTCTAGCCTCCCCTCGTCTTGTCACGATGGAGACTTGTGGAGAACTGAAGTGAATTGCTTGTAACTGGTGGATTGGTCGGCTGTACATGAACTGATATGACCCGAGACTGCATGGTTTTGCAGCTACTGGAGACGTTAATTCTTCCCTTTGTATCGGCGGCAAGTTAATCCTCGTCGTGTCTGACCTAACACCTGACCCACACCACATGAGCTCACTGGCGTACTTGTTTGAAGTTGTTTCCTTAATCCTCAACAGGTTACAGGTTGTGTGTGTGGCGGGGGGGGCGCATAGCAAGGGTGTACGTAGCTCATGACGTGGCCGTGATGATGTGGGTCAGGTGTTAGGTCAGACACGACAAGGATTAACTTGCCGCCGATACAAAGGGAAGGATTAACGTCTCCAGTAGCTGCAGATATGGGTGATGAGCAGACCCAAAAGTGCCGCCCCCCAAAAGTGCCGCCCGGGGCGGACCGCCCCCCCCCCCCTAGCTACGCTAGTGCTGTCGCCTCATAGTCAATGTCTGCAACTGTTGCTGTTTTAGGGGCCGATGATCTTCCCTCAGGCAGAGCAATGCAGACCTAAGTAGAGAGGACAGTCGACATCTCAACCAGGCTACAACACAGCTTCTGGGATGCTGTTTTAGTTCAGGTAACACTTCGGCCAGTCTTGTGGATCTTGCAATTGGTCCCATCCCACCAGATGTTGTGAACACCAGAGAAGTGAAGCTGCCTTGATCCACGTTCTGAATTCTCTATGCTACGCCCTATTCTTGTTCTCGTTCCTCGTGTGTGCAGTCTCGAGAGACAGGTTATGGTAACATGCTGCCATGGGGTTGAAAATCCTTGTCAAAGAAAGCTCGTGTCCCCGCATCCAGAGTCCTTGAGCACTGACGTCCACACAGGCTTCGTTGGATGTGTTGGAAGTCCTGTGATGGAGATTCTCACGGTTCACCCTCCAGTGGGAGGAGGGTCGGTTACATCGTGACGTGGCAAATTTTCTTCAATATATTCGCTGTGAGATCCCTTACTTCGCCATGCTTCATGCCACACATGCATTGGGTGGGCATACCTTCCACTGGCCAACCATACCTTAGAACAATGGCATCTGTAAATTATTGTTTGTTAAGGCTGAAGTCCTTTGCTCTTATCGGTAATGTTGTTAGCCAGTTGGAGGCGCCCACTTCCTGTGCTACAGCCACTTTTTTCCTCATGTTCGCTGACAATTTCAATGCCCCTTTCAAAATAATTTGAAAATGATCATTATTTTCATAACAAATGTGCAGTATATACAAACTCCTTAACGAACACGTAATATACAATAGAATATCAACTTAACAAAACCACGCAATGTATTCTTAAATTTTTGCTTCATTTCGCTTTGGAAGATATTGTCCACAACAAACCAATTGAAATATCGGGTTCATGCAGCATTTGCAGCTGCTGTTGCTTAAGCAGTTCCTAACTTGAGGTGTCAAGGCAGAAGGAAAAAAAATCGTGCTTCTAAAAATGTCATTACAGTAATTTATAAACTTAATCTTAATACAATGAATTTGGGCTGATTTTTTTTTCGTTTTCATGAGTGACTTCTGAAGGTCTAAATGCAACATACTTTAGCTGTTTTGCAATAGTTTATTATGAGTTAAAGATTTTTGAGATATTTTCGAGTTCTTAGAAACGGTCATTCGACCCTTAATCCCTTCCACTCTTAGAGAAAATGACTTTACGAAAGTAAGGTACCATTTTTCCTGATAAATAATTTTAACAATGAAATTCAAGTAAAACAGGAAAAATATGATTGTTTCCTTGGAATCATTACACACACCTGTTGAAAGCCTGCCAGTTATCATACAAACAAGGCTCACTCTCTTATCTTTAATGTGATATTTCCAACCTTCCATCTAAGCTCACGTGAATATTTTGGTATGAATAAAGACAAACTGTATTTTGTTAAGCCACTGGGTGAACAAAAACATCATAAACTCCATAAGAAGTGTTAAAGAATGACTGGCCAATAAGCCTTGTGACTTGTGTGGTGTGGATTATCTGAGAATAGCTGAAAGTGTTACTAATGTTCAACTTTTATAAAGTTTACTCTGTTGTTTGATGTTGCTTGTGAAGGTTAGTTGAAAAACGAGTGTACAGTGACCAAACAAATAATGGTTCTCATGGAGGCATGTTACACAGTTTAAGTTTAGTAGCATTACAGCGAGACTGATGACATAAGATCTGTTTCCTGGGTTTTGAGAACAGAATTATTCAGTTTTTAGGAAGATTTTGCTACCCACGTTACCTCTCGTGGGCCTCACTATCGTCTTATCCAGAAGCGATCTGGGTCTGATGAACCCCATCTTATCAGTTCCTTAGAAATTCCTGGTCGAAATTTTCAGTGTTAATATAAAAGGATTCGCTGGATACGTAGGCGAGTTGTGCTGGCGTCAGCATTCTCTGCTCATTATAACAAAGTAAGAATGTATCGGTAATCATCACTAATTACCCAACCTTCTCTGCTATAAATTACTCTCTCTTTAGGTTTGTGGCATGATCATCTTATACTAGCCGGATGGTGCAGTCAGGAAATTCACTGATGAAAGCAGCATTCTCAGAATAGTATAATCTTTAATTTTATATCATAACATCATGCGTTCAAACACTTTGTTCTTAAAAAATAAACAAAGTAATTATGATATATGATGAGTCACATGTACAATATAGTTAAATTATATCGATTTGTTTTTATTCACTCGTGTGCTTCAAACGGGAGGACGTGTACTGTTGACGGAACACAGGTTAAATAAACCGATCCGACTAATTACCCAAATGTACCCAAATGTAGTCACAATGAAGTCAAATGATGGTCCTACAAGCGTAAATCGGGCTGTGAATCACCTCTCGATTAGTATTTGGTGTCCGATTAGTATTTGGTGTCATAAAGTCACAAAAAATGGTAAACTTAATTTAATCTGAGTTGAGTTAGGTTAGGTTAGGTTAGGTACATGCTCTCGATCTATTAACTCAGATTAAATTAAGTTTACCAATTTTTTGTGACTTCCTGACACCAAATACTAGTCGAGAAGTGATTGGCAGTCCTATTTATTCTTGTAGGACCATCATTTGACTTCATTGCGGCTACATTTGGGTACATTCGGGTTCATTTGGGTAATTAGTCGCTCCCTCGGTACATGCACGCGATCTATTAACTCAGATTAAATTAAATTTTCCAATTTTTTGTGACTTTGTGACACCAAATACTAGTCGAGAAGTGATTAGCAGTCCGATTTATTCATGTAGGACCATTATTTGACTTCATTGCGGCTACATTTGGGTAATTATTCGGACCTGGTTAAACAACTCGCTCACTGGCGGTGACTGGCCCCTTTGCCTCCTGCATATTTAGGCCTAAAAGACTTAATCCAGAATATATGAACACGTTTACGAGCATTTGAACATCATCTGTCACTGCCAGCAGGCGCAGCTTTTATGAGGGGTGACGAAACTCAATTACGTGGACCAAGCTTGTGACACAATACCCCGTGGGGTGCGGGCATAGACCCCAGATTGTTTTTTTTAATAATTCATAATTATAAGCCATATATTCTTTGTACAAAAACAATATCAAGTGCTCTGACGAAGTTACTGGCCTATATGAAAAATCCCAAGATAAATTTATCCCGTAATTGAGGATGAGAGGTTACATTCTATTTTGGGTTATTACGCTGCCAGACCTCTGGTACGTGAACGCTGTCATGTATGCTCTCCCGCATGTTTCATACTACTAGTGGCGGTCATTGTAGGTACGTTTCAATACATATACAGGTATATCACAGTTCACAATGCTCAGCGTGAAACTTTTCAAGGGAAGCTAGGAACTTCTTGAAATTTAATTTGGAGCATGATGTACTTACATTAATGCCACATACCACTCTCTTGTGTATGACGCAATGGCAAGCGATGCTCCCCGGCCTAGACTTACAGGAGTCAGCTCTCAGCTGGCAACACTTCGCTGAGTCAGCTTCCGACTTCTCAGTCTTCGAGTGCAACCGCAGTGAACGGAGGTACGGGTCCTCTCTCTCAGCCGACATTTTTTATTGGTACTTATGCGTCAGAATTAAGTGAATATTGCTTTTAATGTCTTGTAAAAATTTTTTTTACTTGAAAAAACACATTACTCATTGTTAGCAGCTACGGCCCTCCAGCGGTCTGATACGCACTCTAATATTAGTCGGTGGACGTCTTCGTGCGTCTTGTGAATTAAACACCCGACAGACGAATAAGCAGCTGCCCTCCATAAAATCTATCGAATCTGTTATTATTCTATGCAAAACATGGCCGGAAAAAGTTGGAATGTTTCCGGTTGAATACTTGATTAGTGATTGATATTAGTTTTATTTTGGTTTTGTATATTATGTACAGTAATCAAAAGCATTTTCTTTAGATTTTCAGCACATTGCAAATACAAAAACACTTTGCCAGAAAAAGTTGATATTAGTGATTAATTTAAGAATTGATGTGGTAGAGGTGATCTTAGGCTGTCAGTTTTACGAGAGTGAATATCCGATGGTGAAACACCTTTTGCGTCTGTTATCTGTGAGCGATCGCCACCGTCGACGTCTCCACCGCAGCCAAGCTTTATCTTCAAGTGTGTCGACGACAGTGTCGTCTGCTCCTCTTACTGCCCACGCTCATGCCAAGGATTCATGCACAGGCGAAGGGTCATCCTGCTCGAGCTTAGGAGCTCGCTTTACGCTGATGAGGTTACACATTCTCGCCTCTAGGATTCTGGAGGAAAAATGTGGGTGAAAACTACAGGAAGCTGTTTGTAGCCATACTGGGCGAAGGTAGGATGTCAAGTGTTGCCTTTATGTTAATTTTGCTTTTATAGAAAGATAGCTAACTACAAGGGTCATTCAATATGTAACGAGACTTTTTGATGTAGACAAAAAAGGGAGGGGCAAGCTCAGCGTTCATGTAACATGTTTAGACATGCATAACTTACTTTTATCCTCTTCACCACTGATCTGTTCGTTAGCCGCTTGGGCGATCGGTCACGTTTCTGATTACTTTTCCTTTTCTTTTATCCTCTTCACCAAAAGATCGGCTCGTTAGCCACTTGGGCGATCGGTCACGTCTCTGTTACGCACTGTTGGCAAGTACTGGGCATGCACCGGCTCCTGAATGTACCTGAACCCGCTCCAGCGTTGGTCAAGTCTTGTCTTGAAAGAGCTCACACTTGGTGCCGTCACAACACTTTCTGGTAGATTGTTCCAAGAGTTCACAACTCTCTCTCCGAAAAAGTTTGCCCTCACAGTTTTCTGGACTTGCGGCTTCTTCAATCTTGAGCTGTGACCCCTTGTGGGGCGAGCGTCCGCCAGCTCCGAGTAAGGACACTCGACTGAGTAGTGCCCCTTGAGATGCTTATGCACCTCAATTAGGTCACCCCTTGCCCGTCTGTAGTATAAGCTAGGCAAGTTCAGGCGCTCCAATCTCTCAGGGTAACTGAGGTGCCGAAGTGCAGGCACCAGTCCGGTGGCCCTCCTTTGAACATTTTCAACCAACTGACAGTCCCTAGCATATCACGGGGACCAGACAGGGTGACAGTACTCCACATGGGGAAGCACTTCACTCTTGAACAGGGGTCACCGAACTTTTTTCACAGTGGGCCGGATAACTGAAAGAATGACGAGCGCGGGCCGCATAATCATTCTGTTCAATACTTGCAAGCCAGAACGGAAGCTCTGGTAACGTCAGAGCGTAGTTTTGAGCTACCACGAGCCGGGGAAGGACTTGGGATCCGGCCCGCGGGCCGTAGTTTGGTGACCCCTGCTCTTGAAGATCGTTACGACGGACGGACTGTCTAGATATATGAATGACCTTCTTATAAGACCCAATAATTTATTTGCCTGATTTACATTCTTCTCGCAATGGCCCGAGAACTTCTGCTCATTGTCAACATACACACCTAGGTCCTTCTCACATTCAGTTTCAAATAGTGCAGTTTCTTCTTCCGGTTGGGACATATGATATGCCTCCTTACCGTTGGTATGCCCCAGGTGCATCATCTTACACTTCGTGACATTGAATCTCAGCAGCCATTTCTTCGACCATTCTTGGAGCTCACAGAGGTCCTTCTGCAGTTCTTCACAGTCCACTTGGTTCTTAATTTCCCGAAATAACTTGGCGTCATCGGCAAACATTTGTATGGAGGAGTGTACAACGTCAGGCATGTCATTTATGAAACAAACAAGCAACAGCGGGCCCAATACACTGCCCTGTGGTACCCTGCTTGTGACGGGTACGTATGATGATTTCGTGCCATTAATCACCACACACTGCTTGCGGTCATGTAGAAAGTCTTCTATCCATACTAGGACATTTCCCCGAATTCCGTACCCTTCCAGTTTGATTTTCAGCCTTTCGTGGGGTACACTGTCGAAAGCCTTGGCAAAATCTATGTAAATATTGTCGATATTACCACCCCGTTTCAGAATATGGGTCCAAATATCCAATACCTTGAGCAATTGCGTTAAGCAGGAGCTCCCCGGCATAAAGCCATGTTGGCAATCCTTTACAAGGTTGTTTCGTAGTAGATGTGCCATTGTGGCATCTCTGATAATACTCTCAAGTACTTTACATATTATGCTGGTCAGGCTCACCGGTCTATAGTTGTTCGTGGAGTGACGATCCCCCTTCTTGAAGATAGGACTCACATAAGCCACTTTCCATTCTATGGGGACCTTTTGTTCATCCAGGCATTTAGAAAACAGGATCTTCAGGGGCTCGACAAGCTCGTTGCACAACTCTCTTAGCACTCTAGGATGCACCATGTCAGGGCCGGGACTCTTATGGACTTTTAGCCTGGACAGTTTATTTCTAATAACCTCTTCTGTGAACACAATGTGGGTCAGTGCTGTGTCGAACCGTCTGTCCCCAAACGCAGGAAGGTTAATTGCATCCTCTCTTGTGAACACCGACGAAAAGAAGCTGTTCAATGCCTCAGCTTTATACTGGTCAGAATGTGCGTAACTACCCTCTTTAAGCCTCAGGTCTGATACTCTTACTCGCGTTTTTAATTTCGACTTTGCATAGCGGTAAAACGCCTTTGTGTTTGACTTGACCTCACTTGCAACCAGCCTCTGGAACTCATTTTCAGCCGTTTTACTCTCTATCTTTGCTTGGTTTCTGGCTCTTACATACATCCTCCTATCCTGCTTATCGTTTGACCCAACCCACGTCTTGACTTTCTGGGTTTTCTTCTTAACTTTGTCGACCGCCATATGGTTCATGTGTAGGGATCCCCTCGTATTCCTAGAGGCACTGTGTTTGGTCTTTGGTATATATTTATCGATCAAATGGGTCACTTTACTAGTTATGATATTCAGCGTAGTGTCTGCGTTCTTGTGCCTTAATGAGTCAGGCCAGTTGATACCTCTCATTTCTTCCCTCATCCCGTTGTAATTTCCCTTGTAGTATTTGCAAACTTAGCCTGGCCTTATCCTGAACTAGGTAACAGTTAAATCTGAATGACAACACTATATGGTGACTGGTGCTAACTGGGGTAAGGTGTTCCAGTTTGGCCACCATACCCTCCTCGTTTGCTATGATGAGGTCAAGTGGCTTGGGTGTTTGCTCCCCTCTGTAATGTGTTGGGTCTCTAACATGTTGGAACTAAAAATTATCTCTCAGAGTTTCTACAAAAAAAGTAGCAGGGTTATTCAAGTCATTTGGGGTGAACTCGTTTCTATAGTGGATGTCGCCATAGTTAAAGTCCCGCATGATGAGGAGTTGGCTAGGGTTGAGCATCGCCACGTTGTCTATTAAGGCTCGTAAGTTCCATTGATTTAGTGGGCCACAGTTTGGGGATCTGTAGATACACCCGACGATAAGTAAGTCCCCTCCCTTTAATTTAATTTTACACCACTTGGACTCTTCAAAAACCTCCTCTCCCTGTACCCTCGCCTGGCTGGCTCCAAGGTCTTGCCTAGCATAGATAACCACACCCCTCTTGCAAGTTTCTTGAGAAAGGTTCGTAAATGAGTCATATCCAGCAATACTGAGCTCACATTCCTCTGGGTCGATTCTGCTAGTTTAGTGACATAAGGCGTTTTCTCACAAGGACCTGATCTAAAAGTCGAAATAAATCAAAGATGCCAAACGGCTGCTAAACTGTGGTTTGTGATTGTAAATTGATATGTTTATGTATTGTGGGTAAAATAAATTTAGCTAAAATAAATTAATACTAGAAGTAACTATTTTCATCCTATAGGGAGCTTAAAATAAAATCAGCCTTTCTCAAAGCCTTGCTGTAACTTAGAATACCATACACATTCACCTTAACTATTATAAGGTAATGCAGTGTAATGTATAAGTAATGGTGCTAAGGTTTCGCGAAGCCTTGGGTTCAGCTTTGGCTTCATGACTTAATGTGTCTAGCTTCGGTTTCGGCTTCATGACTTTGTCAAGCTTCGGCTTCACGACCTTTTTAATATGTAGCTTCGGCTTCATGACTTTTTTATGTCTAGCTTTTGCTTCATGCTTTTTCATGTCTGGCTTCGGCTTCATAACATTCTAATCCAGGGATTCTCAAGCATTTTCCAGTGCGACCCCATCTAGTGCTGCCGCCTATCCAGTACGACCCCGAATCATTACGATAAATATAAAGATTCGTAGAGTAAATACGGACATATTTTCCCACGTATTTAATTGCAAAGACAAACAAAGAAAATATATTACATAATTGAGAAGTGTAAAAGTAAACACTGGCAGAAACAAGTTACAACTGTCAAGATTATAATCATCATTTAGTGTTTTATACTTCGGGATATAATTACGTGGTTAAGCAACATAACATAGTTTTCCCAGCTACAACTGTCATATTTCGTATGTAACATGTGTTTACTGTCATTTAATCAATTTTATGTAAACTAGGGGTATAATTATGTGGTTAAACAATGTACACTGCAACTGGGTCGTATTATATATGTCATGTGTACGTCATCGTTTGATTAATTTTCTTTATCTTGGGGTATATGAGGTTAAGCAACATAGCACAATTTTCTAAGTAGAAGTTTGATGATATACGGTTACGGTAATCATTTTTATACCAGAACGTTGATAGCTCGATTTTTTACAGGTGACTCTGATAAAATACTTCCAAACTTTACTATGTCATCATAGACGTCAAAATTCACCCTTGCCTCGTTGTCAGCCTGTAATTCTGACATTTCGAGTGCAAAAGACTCGGTAAGTAGAGTTAAGAGGCCTTGTCCTTTAGTCCTTGACACCTTGCCTAAAGAGAAAGAAAAAATCACATGTAACCGCTGCAAGACCCAGGTGAACCAATCGACCCCATGACCTCTATGCGACCCCTTTATAAGAACATAAGAAAATAAGGAGTCTGCAATAGGCCGGTTGGCCTGTGCATGGCAGCTCCTGTCGAGAGTTACTACCACTTTCTATTATCCATGAATCTATCTAGCCTCCTTTTAAAACTTTCCAGCGTTCCAGCACTTACTACAAAGTTGCTAAGCTTGTTCCACTCGTCCACCACCATGTTTATGAACCATTTCCTTCCTATCTCCCTCCTAAACCTAAACTCATCCAACTTAAATCCGTTGCTACGAGTCCTATCCTGCTCGGATATTATAAGAACTTTATCTACTGTATATCTTCTTTATTGATTCCTTTCACCCACTTAAATACTACTATCATATCTCCCCGCACTCTTCGTCTTTCTAGGGAATGCAAGTTTAGTTTCTTTAATCTATCTTGATATGGAAGGTCTCTAAGTCCCCCGTATTGGAAACCGCTGTAATCTAATGGCTTCGTCCCCATGTCTGAT